ATTAAAGTTGTATTTTCATTTTTATTGTGTATAGATAAGATGGAGACAATATTAATGCAAATTGTCAAAAACGTCGTATTCTTTACGATAAAAAAGTTTATATAAAACGAAATAACAAATTATCTTATTTATTAAAAGTTATGATTGATTTATATGAAATATTAAATTAAACAATATTAGAAATCTTACCTCCCAATTTTGAAACATTTAACTGATTGAATTTTTATACAAACATAGTTGTCAAAAAATAATGGAAAATTTTGTTCGTTTCCTACTTAGGGGTTTCGCCTCTATTAAGAATAATCACTTTTTAATTCATAATGTATATGAAATATCGAATGCACATGCATTGAAAAAAAAAAGAAAAAAAAAATAGAAAACAAAAAGAAAAAAAGAAAAAGAGCACATGCCTATAAAGAACAATTTTTAAATATTTTATTCGAAAAATTGAAAGACTCACTTCCTTGTTATATAAATTAAATAGTCGATTACTAGATAAAATTATTTTTATAGATTTAAATTAAACTTATGATTGTAAACACTTTGTAAAGTATCTAGACGCACGCTAACAGTATTTTTATGTAATTTATCCATTGAAGTGTTTAAATACATGCGAATATTGTCCTTGTTCCAATAATCAGTTCAGCAAACAAAACTGGTTCATGAAATAAAAGGTTCGTTTATATCCTATAATTTTTCAAGAAAATTCTAGTTGCTTTTGATACTTAGAAATGTAAAAAAATTGTATCTTATACTTATTTTTAAAATTTTATATCTTAGTTTAATGAAATTAGTATTTCATAACTATTTTTATTATATAACGACAAAGATGTTTGTAACTATAAGCCATAAAGATCATAAAAATTATAAAGATTTAAAAGGCAATTCATGAAAATATTCATTACGTTATTTTCATATTTTGCATTTTATTTGCATTTGCATCTTATATGTATTTATATTTAATTAACGTTAATGTATAAAAATAACAAACATTGATAACGTTGCAAAGTAATCAATTTTTACAGCAAACGAACAATGCATAATGAATAAATAACTTTATAATTTATGAATAGTATAAATGAACATTTCAATTTCGTAAATAGATCACATACATAGAACGAAATCGATTAAGTTTTTGAGAAGCAAATAAAAATGAGTAGTTCATATAGGAACTAAGATATCGGAAACCAAAAAACAATTTTGCATACTTTTCCTGAATATATATGCAACAAAAGCATAGGAAATATTAACAAACGTTTCTATTAATAATATAAAACAAAAACAAAAAATAAAAAAAATGAAACTGATAGACCTGAGTGTCAAACATTTAGAAATCATGAATATTAATGCAAACTTGCATATTTGGAATTAAAATAAAAAAAATTATATTACTAATTTGATACATATTGTTTCTTTTTTTTTTCTTTTTTTTTTTGTTTTTTTTTTCATCACATAATGCATAATTGGAATTTCAATAGCTCAACAATATTTAAAATTAATACTGCGTGAATATTTTTGAAAATATAAAAAAATCAAGCATACAATATGCAATATGCAAAATTAAAACGTACTTTTAGATAAAAATTACACTTTCTCAGATAATGAATAATTAGAGCTTCAGTTATATAAATTTTTTAATTTTCTTCGCATTCAAGTGCAAAGTAGTTTCATTTGTGATAAATTAAAAACTAAATTAAGATGAAATTAGGAAATTTAATATATTTCTTTTACAATCACAGAAAAAGTTGATTAAGATTAATTATTTTTTTAATCGTTGGAGATACGATTCTTATCAATTATTAACAGAACTTTTTACTTCTCTAACGATATAGATGTTGAAGTTATAACTTCATGAACAAAATTAAATATATATTTTACTTATTATGAAAGTTTCAAACAAAAGAACATTTATATTTATTAAAAATTGTAATTTCAATGTGTGTTAATATTACATGGCAGTCTAGCCAACGGCATATGGACATTAATAATTACAACACACACGATCTATTCGTGTTGAATGATATATTTTGAATGACTATATAGTATGATTGACTTTTCCCACGTGTATACAGTTAGGTATGTGTTAATATTTGCATTATTTTAACATTTACAAGGTATGAGTTGGATATTAAAAAAATAAAATAAAAAAAACATTTACATTAAACGTTAAATATGCATGCGAATTTTAAAACTTCGTTCTACATATTCGATCACAGGGGAGTAAAGTGATTTTACCTGAGAGTTTTTTTTATTACTAAAAGAATTCTTTTTCGAATCATGTACAATAGTTAAAAGATTTTTTTTTTTATTTGCGTCATTCGTTTTCACTAAATGATGTAAATGATGAAAATACAGAAGCTTCAAATTAGTCTGAGCCTCGTTGCCGACGGTGAAGGTCGCATTTTAGGATTTTACCAAATCTAAACTAAAATTAAAGCTTTGTTACTTTATTTAAATATTTAATTAAATAAATCTTAATTTATATTATTTTATCTGATTAAATTATTAATATTTCAATAAGTAAATACGTTATCCTCCTCCTGGTTTTTTTTTCCGTACATCAAACAATAATGCTTGTAATATTATTTGTATGGTCAATAGTTTTTCAAATTTGACCACACGACATTCCGTCATCCAGTCGAGTCAAATACTTTTAAAGACTTTAATCCCATATGTCATATATACCAAGTTTTTGCCATAATTTCGCACACGTTTCTTATAATATCTGTTAAGAATCGTGTAGATTAAAATACGCCTAAATAATAATTGACCCTTTAACCAGTATTTCACTGGCTTCGCATGCTATTGTCAGCCGTTGGCTTTCTGCTGGCGTCCTCTTAAAACAAATATTTTTGATGTCATCATCGAACTGTATAACAATGCGGTCCACTGGCTAATTGTGAACCTGAACCTGGACACTTATCACGAGGCAAGGATTTTTAACGTAGTGGTTTGATTATATTCGTAAGTTGCGGATCAATTGCCTTATGAATACATCGGACCACCTCTCGTTATTATTTTATCGATGGTAACAGAGCCGAAAGATTTAAGGACAAGAGTGGGAGTGATATTTTTATTAATTATTTAATCGAATTGGCCGCATTTACCTTCGGATTAATTGAAATTTCGGTACGGAGTCCTGTAAAAATACAAGCGATTGCTGTTGGTCGATAAGTGTTAGTCGACCTGACAGACCCTCCAACCTTTCTAATATTATACCTGTGGATGAGATTCCTTATATTAGGAGTTTCTAAATACACTTTAGAGACGAAGGCTTGAGAATTTCCCGAAGCCTAAAATTGTTCCTTGCCATCATTTCATTATTAAGATTACATTGACAGCAGGTAAAACGACATTGAAAGGTCGAAGGCAACTATTATTTACACTCTACTGCTATCCTTCAAAATAATATAGAAACATAAGCTGCTCAAAACTTAATCTTAAAGTCGATTAGGCGAGGTAAAAATGCTTACTTATTTTTGTTAATTTCTTGCTAGCTAATAATTGCTTAAATGAGATAATTTTTACCATGTTGTCACAACGGACAAACCGTTTCATAATGAATTTATAGTATTTCCTTAAATTATTTATCATTGTATTAGTCAAAACAATTAGATCTCAAATAAAATGGACCTTTTTCTTTGTTATTTTATTTAACTCGAATCAAGTTCACTACTTGACATAAAAATGAAAAAAAATTTCCAACTCGGTTTGTTTCTTTTTTCCTTTTCTTATTGTTAACCAGTCCGCAATTACGAATTTCGATTATACAATGGCCAGCACCACTAACCCACCCTTTCGTTAAAACAGTGTTTTGATAAAAATATGAAATTTCGCTGATTAATGTCGCTTGGAAATTAGTGTATTATATCAAGGTAAATCAACTGTTAACTCGAACAACAAATTCGTAAGTATTAAATTTGTTATACTAAATATATATATATATATATATATATATATATATATATATATATACAATACATATTGCTTTGACATTTTTATAAAAAATACATGCCTTAATTATATTGACTTAAACATTTCATAAAGTAAAATGTATTTTCGAGATTCGCGTACTAGAAAAAAAAATCCTAACAATAGATATTATTTGAATTTCTTAGTTTCATTATAAATAATCGATTATCTTAATAAAGAATAATTTAATTAAATTATCCGAAAGACACAAGGTAAGAGTCTACCGTCATGTATCTCTCGAGCATAAATAATTTGTAAAAAAAATTATTCTACAAAATGTTGGTCAGAAGAACGTGCAATTCTTTAAAAATTTCGTCCAACAATATTTCATATTTCCTATGCAAATACAGAAAAGTGCTGTACAGTAGTCACAAAAGAATATAATATCGCTCATATTCCCATTGTGCGAACTTGAATTCTATGTAAATGTCTCAACCAAATAACGTCGAAAAGAAGGAATACTGGTTTGTATTTTTATAAAATAACGTTGCTGCAACCGCCGCCGCCGCCGCCTATCCTTACGTTTAACATGTGAAAAGCGACGTGCCATAAAAGGAAGTTTTGCTCTGCAACTTGTGCATATAGAACTATATATACATACTATATATATATTATATACACGCGCATGCACGCGCGCGCAAATGCATTAACGCAAAATGCAACGTGCAACACGTGTGTATGTAAGCGAGCGGCCGCGCACACATGGTACACGGGTATGTTTCTTTAAAGTCAACGTACGAATATTCGGTTAATTAAAAGTTGAGATGGTCAAGAGTCGCACTTTTAAAAGAAGAAAAAAAGATGCTTATACGTAATGCGGCATTACGTAAATAAAAAACGTCGGTGAAGCGTTAGTCGTCGTCGTCGTCGTCGTCGTCGTTCGTCGTTCGTCGTTCGTCGTTCGTCGTTCGTCGTTCGACGTTCGACGTTCCACGTTCGACGTTCGACGTTCGACGTTCGACGCTCGACGCTCGACGCTGACAATTGACGCGAGTAATCGGGATAAGAGAAAGAGCGAATCTACTTACCACAAAGAATATGTACCATGAGGGACCGTGAGCTTTTGCTGTCCATGAGCTGAGAGACGGCAAACATATTTCTCAGGGCTGAAATTGGTTGGCGCGCGCTCGTAGCCTTGGGCCCGGATTCTTTTCCTCCTTTGTCGCGACGACACTTCCAGCCGCTTATTCTCATCGAGACTCGTGTTCTACGTTCTATCGCCTTTAATTCTTCCTTCTTGGCGCCTCTCGGTGGCGTGGCGATATTCTTTTCTCCTTCGGTGGCAATTAACGCCAATCGCTCGACGTACTTTGCCTCGAGCGAGACATTCGCATCACGTGCCACCGTCTCTCCTCTTATTTGCCTCTTCTCTTCTTCTTTAACGTTGGCGCTCGTTCTCTCTTCGTCTTTCGTCACTCGTCTCGTCTCTCTCTCTCTCTCTCTCTCTCTCTTTTTCTCTTTTACAATCTCTCTCTCTCTCTCTCTCTCTCTCTCTCTCTAAAACAGACAATTCATAACAGGGCGCCCGATTCCTTATTTATCGCCGTTGCTCGGCAATTTTAAAAAGTACTTTTGCGAGTATACATTTTCGCTGCTTATCACGTTCGAGAGAGAAAGCGGCTGATCACATGCGGGTGTAATAAGAGAGGCGCTCGATCGGCTGACTAGCCTCGCTCTTCCCCAAGATTGCCCGACGGATAACCTCGTAAGCTCCCCGGCACAGGCACCTTCCCAGCTCCGCTTTCTCAATTTTCCAGCTCGTGCGTCTTTTAGGTTAAGAAGCGTGCGATCTTATCGACCCCGCGACTCGATTTACTCTACTCCCAGCAATTTCCCTCCTCGATTCTGCACTCTCGACCTCTCCGCCAAATGCAACCGCCCTCGACTCCGTTTTCTCGACGCCGCTCGCACTCTCGTTATAACCGCGCGCACACAGTCCTCTGCCTCGCCTTTCTAGGTTATGCTTGCATCCCTCTCGTCCAGCGCTAGGAACAATATTTCAGCAGAAAAGATGAGCGACGGCTCGCGGGCATACACGTACACCTGCGCCAGTGTGCACACGCGGATAGGCGGGCGGGCGGGCAGACAGACAGACAGACAGACAGACAGACAGACCGACGGATAGACGGACGGACGGATTGATAACAATACGGTGATACGGGAGAAAGAGGGAGAAAGAGAGAAATTGAGAGAGAGAGAGAGAGAGAGAGAGAGAGAAAGAGAGAGAGAG